AAGTGGCACAATTACGTGTGTAAAAAAAACAAAAGAATGTGAAAATATTTAAAATTCAAAAACTGTGAAGTGAGTGAAAGTGTATACGCACCTGTGTTTTCCTACGTTTCTCAATGGGAAACACGTTTTCCACGAGAGACTTATATGTTGGAGTGTAAGAGGAAAAAGTAAAAAGAGAGTGAGGATATATCACAGAATATTTATAGTCTGGAGAGCGTCCCCTAGCAGCGGTTCCAAGAAAATAAGTAAGTGGAGTTAATTCCATAGAACTTACCGTAAGATCTAACCATTTTAACAGTAAAATGATGAGTTCTAACTACCAATTTAGTACTCAGCTTAAATTCGTAAAATCTAGGTACAAAAACAGAAAGCCCGTACGAAACATTCCCATGAAAATATTTATATAAAATCCGTTGGGAAGCTATGCTACGACGGTGGAAAAGTGACTGAGGCCGAGATGCCAGGTCAGGACAGATAATATTGCAGATTCTTCTTTGGATTTTATCAAGAATCTCTGAATACATATCAAAAGCACCACACCGGATGTGACAGCAGCATTCAATGGGTGGACGCATGGTAGACTTATAAATATGTAAAATAGATGCTGGCAAGAATAATTGTCTAGCAAATCATAGTGAACCAACTTGCTTAGCAGCTGACCGAGCAAATTGAGTCAATATAATCTTTCCACTTCAGGTCATCGGAAAACGTTAGTCAGAGAAGATCACTCTTCTTTTATTTATACTTAGAATCAAAAAGAGGCAGTTGAAATTTCTCGGCCACATGATGAGGAAAGAGGGTTTGGGGAATATGACACTCACAGGATATATTGAAGGGTGGGGGAAATGTTGAGTAACCTGACGAGTTTTTATAAATGAGTGGCGGCAGAGGGATAGTAAGAGGACAAAGATTAATAAGAGCTACAGAGGAGAGGAAATTGTGGAGAGCCATGTTCACCGATGTTTTGAAAGAACATTGCATATAAAAGAAGGAAAATTGTAAAAAAAAAATTAATAATATTGTTAGTCTGTGAGTCCGGACCAAAATAAGACAAGAAAACAGGGAATTTAAAACAAATAAAAAATTAATGAATGTTATTGTTATTAATAAAAGAAATTACATGCGCACACAATTGAAATCGAAGGAAAAGACATTAAAAACAAGTTATAAGCATATCTTTGTGTGTGTGTGTGAGAGTGAGAGAGTGAGAGAGAGAGAGAGAGAGAGAGAGAGAGAGAGTTAGCGTGTGCGTTTATACACGTGTGTGTGAGAGAGTTCAGTAGCCAAATCGATTGGGGGAAATGAATGCTCCCCGGCGGGCATTCTCATCTACCAGTTACTATATTTTAGTAGAGCAAGAAAATGAAACAAAAATAGAGAAAATGAAGGAAATATTTGCCTTTTTATAGACTTAGATAGCGCCACCTAATGGACGATTCCGGCAAGGCCAAGTGCTATAATCCACAAAATCAATAAAAAAAAAAAGAAAGCATTAATCACTTAACCTGTTATTGGTCGATGCTTTTTTAAACTGAAGTTACAAAACAGCTTTCACGTGGACTTGTTGCAGGCTGGTGCATGCGTTTGTCTCCTGAAATACCCACAACAAACATGGCCGTCTCCGATGTGAGTCCACGTAAATACAATAAAAGAAACGACAAGAAAGAACAAACAAATTTATCAACAACAAAGGGTTACAAGCGACAAAGACAATGATGTCTGTAACAAATGGATGTGGAAACTTTTTGGTCCAAACTATGTGAAGTGAGTGAATGTACGTACATACGTGTGTGTGTATGTGTTTTCCAAAAGAGAAACGCGTTTTTCCGGGAGTTGACGGATAAGATCAGAAGAGGGTGATAAAAGTTTATCGTAGTGTAGTTATAGTGCCGGAGAGCGTCCTCTGGTAACGGTTGCGAACAATAGGAGGAGGTAACCCGACAGACTCTTTGCCTATATTGTGAGAAATTCTGCAATTTAAGCTCCTATTGGCTGATTTGTAACCAATTTCATTGGTCGAATTTTGACTTGTTTTTTTTCGCGGGCATTTTTCTACGGTCCGTGCCCTTTTGACTCAGTTGCGGCAAATTATTGGAAATGTCCGGACTCATTTTTGAATCTCTGCAGGGCCTTTAGCGCCCAAGATCAAGCCTAAATAATTAGGCTATGATTCCTTTCGGCAACCAAATGGTAATGCTTCAGAGACGACGTCATGTCCCAGCTTAATTCTTTCAAGGCTGTATAATTCAGTAATTTATTGACTGTCGTCAAATGTGTACGTTCTACACGTAGAACTTTATGCATGATCTCGACAACAGCCGAGTTTCAACTCCAGCAACGACCAGCAAATTCCAGCTTCTCCAACTTCGTAGAGACCAACTGAGTCCTACTGAAGTAAAAGACACTACCTATTCTTTGAAGAACTACCCCACCCTGTTCCCAGGGGCAAAAAAGGGCATTTGATTTAAGTTTTAAGGTAGGCCTTGTTGATTGTATGTCTTTCGGGAAAGACAATATTTTGTGACTCGGGGTTCCAAGACAGAAATTCAGATAGGGATTTACTAAGCATAGATTAGTTGAGGCACAAGGCCAAAAGTATGGAACACTCAGCGAGGATCGAATTCACTACTCAGTCATAATTGATCTAGCGAAGCAATCTTACTAACCATAGCACCATGTTGAAGTGTCCCAGAAATTCAAATAACGCGTAATGAAATAGAGTTTAACTAATCGTTCAAGGGAAACAACTCACATGCCAAAAGCGTGATGCAATTACTTCCCTTATATTAAACATTTAGTTCTTATATTTGAACATGTACACCTTTGCATTAAATACAAGTACCGTTTGGAATTATTATATCGGTAGAAGTTTTCTATATCTTAGAAAACCTTCCCGTTTAAATAAACATACCGCCGGGAATTGCTATATAAATTTAATAAACGTGGGGTATTATAATCGTGCCGTGAAAATATAGCTGTAAAATATTAGGCATTGTGCCACATTTGAAGGGAATAATTTAATGATGCTTGTATGGAAAAGAGGTTCAAAAAACAGAAAAAAAACAGCAAAAAAAAAAAAAAAAAAATGAAAAAATAAACCAAAAAACATTAAGATCGCAGAAAACAAAAGTTAACTTGCGCAAAATGTACGGGAAACAAATTAATTAAAACTTGTAGGCACAAGATTAATTTAATTTTAGGTACCTCCAAAGAAAGGCGATATCTAATGTCTAAAATTAATTTTTAAACATGAAAAATCTGTCTTGAAGCATTTATTTTATTTTTAATTTCAAGCTAGTAGATTACATTTAATATTTTCAATAAGTAAAATACTTTGCTGTATTTCAAAAATTAATTTAAATTGATTGGAATTATTTTCTTTAAATCATTAAAATTGCTCAAAATCAGCCATATAAGTAAACATACCACCGGGAATTGTTATATAAATTTGATAAACGTGGGGCATTATAATCGTCCCGTGAAAATATAGCTGGAAAATATTGGGCATTATGCCTCATTTGAAGGAAATAATTTAATGATGCTGTTAAAGAGGTTAAAAAAAATTATAAAAAAAAAAAAAAAAAAAAAAAAATTAAGATCGCTATCTTTAAATTTACTATAATTACCGCTCTTCTTTTGATAATGTCTGCCTTTACAAAAATGGGAACATTTATACACATACAAACAATTTCCTTCTTCTTCATTCAATTTCCTTCTTCATTCGCATTCCTTCACTCGCATTCCTGTCAGCACAACATTGTCGGAGTTAACTCCTCCTTCAGTCCGTAACCCTTTCACCAGGGGTCTCTCTTCCCTGGCTATAAATAGCCGCTGACTCTTCACCTCTATCTCTTTTTCCCTTTCAGGCCTGTGCACTGACACCTTGAGGTAAACTCTCTTATTCCTAGAGGATTTTCAGCTATCAACCTCGAAATGTAGTCGCTAACAAGGGATAGCGTGGAAACACGCTAAGCACAATATTCTCACACGCACGCACACACAGAATATTCACACACGCACGCACACACAGAATATTCACACACACTTCGTCCTTTGTACTGTTTCCATGTATTGTAACGTGTTATTAATATATATTTGTATATACATATATTATCGGTCTTGTTTTGTTTGCCTTCTTCTTTGGACTTAATCAAAGTCCAACCTTTTTATGTAGTTGGGCCCGGCGGGCAGGAGTATCTGAACCTTACTTGCGTTTCGTCTACGTCTGACTTCTATCAACAACATAACAGCCACGCCATGAACCCTCAACAAGTGGCAACCGCCATTCCCACAACAAGTGGTAACCGCCACGGGCCCACTACAACATGATTCTCTTTATAAAAAATATTTCAAAAAATAAAATATACTTTCCTGAAACTTTATTTGAGGAAGATTTCCCAATTTAAAGTTTAATTCATCTGATTTGAAAGAAAATATTACTTTTCGTTTAAAATATCACAGAAAATCAGTTTTTTAACAGGAAGTTTGTGTTTTTATTTGGTATTCTCAACTATCTAGAGAGACTTCTGTGTTGCTGGTGACAAAACAATGACTATCATTACAAGAAAACATAGATAATGTGTTTGTGTGTATGCAGTTTGTGTAGAAGAAGTCCGAGAAAAAAGTAATGCGTTGAAAGTGAAGTGAACGCGCTCTAGTGGGGGACCCTTTTCCCCAAGTGCGACTACATCTTATTGTCTATGAGAAAAAAGGGAAGAAGATGACCCAGAATACAATTTCCTATTTATAGGATTAAGGAGCGTCCCCCAGTGACGTTTTTTTTTAGTAAAGTCAAGTGAGATAGCTGTTTGGTATTTTTTTTCTACGGGGGACATAACTGTAAAAATTACTTGACGAATATAATGGAAAAGCCTATTTTATATATTTTTTCAATACCCAGTAATCTTCAAATTTAGGAAAATATTAAGTAGTCTAATGTTTTATTGAGTTTTAGGGACTTTGGCTTTAAATTTACTATAATTACTGCTCTTCTTTTGATAATGTCCGTTTATACAAAAATAGGCACGTTTATACACATACAAAACAATTTAATTCTTATTCATTCAATACCGTTCTTTTTCATTCGCATTCCTTCTTCATTCGCATTCCTTCGTCTTCATTCGCACCCCTTCGTCTTCATTCGCATTCCTTCATTCGTATTCCTTCTTCTTCACTCGCATTCCTTCTTCATTCACATTCCATCTTCATTCGCATTCCTTCAATCGTATTCCTTTTTCTTCATTCACATTCATTCTACTTTACTCGCATTCCTTCTTCATTCACATTCCTTCTTCATTAGCATTCCTTCTTCATTCGTATTCCTTTTTCTTCATTCACATTCCTTCTTCTTCATTCACATTCCTTCTTCTTCATTCACATTCCTTCTTCATTCGCATTCCTTTATTCGTATTCCTTTGTCTTCATTCACATTCCTTCTTCTTTACTCGCATTACTTCTTCATTCACATTCCTTCTTTATTCGCATTCCTTCTTCATTCACATTCCTTCATTCGTATTCCATTTTCTCATTCACATTCCTTCTTCTTCACTTGCATTCCTTCTTCATTCACATTTCTTCTTCATTCGCATTCCTTCTTCATTCGCATTTCTTCTTCTTCATTCGTATTCCTTCTTCTTCATTCACATTCCTTCTTCTTCACTTGCATTCCTTCTTCATTCACAACCCTTCTTCATTCGCATTCCTTTTTCTTCATTCACATTCCTTCATTCGTATTCCTTTTTCTTCATTCACATTCCTTCTTCACTTGCATTCCTTCTTCATTTGCATTCCTTCTTCATTCGCATTCTTTCTTCTTCATTCGCATTCTTTCTTCTTCATTCGCATTCCTTCTTCATTCGCATTCCTTCATTCGTATTCCTTTTTCTTCATTTACATTCCTTCTTCTTTACTCGCATTCCTTCTTCATTCACATTCCTTCTTCATTCACATTCCTTCTTCATTCGCATTCCTTCTTCTTCATTCTCATTCCTTCATTCGTATTCCTTTTTCTTCATTCACATTCCTTCTTCACTCGCATTCCTTCTTCGTTCACATTCCTTCTTTTTCATTCAGATTCCTTCATTCGTATTCCTTATTCTTCATTCACATTCGTTCTTCATTCGCATTCCTACTTCATTCGCATTCCTTTTTCTTCATTCTCATTCCTTCATTCGCATTCTTTTTTCTTCATTCACATTCCTTCTTCTTCACTAGCATTCCTTCTTCATTCACATTCCTTCTTCATTCGCATTCCTTCTTCTTCATTCACATGCCTTCATTCGTATTCCTTATTCTTCATTCACATTCCTTCTTCACTCGCATTCCTTCTTCTTCATTGACATTTCTTGTTGTTGTTCTTCATTCCTTCTTGTCCTGTCACGTCCCTTTAAGACATAAGTGTTCATGGCTCTTTACAACTTCCTAACCCTTGTCGACGTTAGCAGTTTTTCTCGCTTTGCTAAGGCTCCCACACAAGCTCGTCAGTTAAGTATCTTATTACTTTATTTCATCGTGTGTGTTAAGTTATCCAAGCCCTCTTTCCTCATTATGTGTCCAAGACTTTCAGCTGGCGTCTCCTGATTCTGAATGTAAGTGTTCTTTCTGTTGCCATTTTCTTTAAGATGTCCGTGCTGTTAACTCGCTCCGTCCATAAAATTTTCAGTACCCTTCTGTAGAAGCACATTTCTCCTGCCTCCAATTACTGGTAGTTTATACTTGAATCTACAATAATTTATTCGGTTTGGGGATAGTTAAATGTTGCCTGTTTATATTAGAGTCTCTCAGCATCTGCTTGGTTCGTGGATAGGTAAATATCGATCGTTTATACTTAAGTCTGCACGCATTTATTTGTTTCGGTAATAGAGAAATATTGGTCGCTGACGTTTGAGTCGGTAAGGATTTAATTACTTTGCAGATAAATATTGCTCGTTTGTATATTTGTGGAGATTACTCTCACCTTTGTCTACCAAGACGCCCGCTAGGTGGCAGTTTTTAGGACTGTATAAAAAGACGGGACAAATAAACCCTCTGCCGTTTTTACACCGGAGTGTAGTGACGAAAACAGCAGGACTTCTCTCTGCCTGGGGAAATTTCTTCCGCCTAGGCAGACCGACATCTTAACTTCCGCCGGTCACAACGTACACACACACACACTTTTTTTTTTTAACTGCAATGCCTATATATATTTCACTTCCTTTTTTAGCTATCTGTGTACAGACAAGTACATTTTCTCTATTCTTGAATTATAAAAAGGTATAGGTGTTTTACAAGCAAAGTTGTTTCTCTATATCGTGTTAAAGAATTTTCTCGCCAGAATATATCTTACACATTCGGCCATGCATTGAATATTGCTGTCACTTTTGGCCTGGTTCTTCTTCTATGTATTTAGAAATTATTGGTAAAATCCAAAGAAAGAATATCTAATACTATTGGTCCTGACCTGGCATATCGGCTTCAGTCACTTTCCTATCGCCATAACGAGGCTCCACGGTGTCTTCTTTTCTATAAATATTTTCATGCTAATTTTTCTGATGAGCTTTTGTCTTTGGTGGGACTAGTTAGTATTTTCATAGAGACAAAGAGGTATTATGGTGGTTGTAGTAAGAAAGGTACGAATGAATGTGTTGTTTTGGTGTAAGGAATATTGTTTCGTAAGATTGGGTCAGTGTTTGCGGCTAGCTAAGTTATAGTTAAGACAGAAGAAGACCGTCCTTTCCCCAATCCCCTTTTCGGCCTTGTGCCACATTTCTGTATTAAACAGAATAAATATCGCTTTTGTCTTTGGTACCTAGACTTAAGTGTACTACTAGATTGGCGTCAGGATATAATCATTTTACACTTGAAATAGCTACATGTAACCATAAGTCCAAATGCTAACAGTTTTTTCTTTCGCACTTCTTGCTTGTGGAAGTTATTTACTCGCTTTTTGCTTTCCAGACAACTTTAATCTTTAAAAATTTAAATGTAATGTCAGTCGTTATCGTTTTTTTTTTAATTCCTATTCTTTTATTGTTCTCTCTCCCTAATAATATTTTCTTTTTCTCATATTCCCTCACGATCAATAACCTTTTGCGTCTTAGTGGATTTATTGCCTTGCTGGGGGGGGTGATTAAAAATATGTAAAATTACACAAGCTGTTGAAATTAATATCTTTTGAAAATGGAAAATTCAATTTCTTTCGTTCTTGGTGAATTCAGCCTATCGATCGAGCTTGCGTAAATGGATTGCAGAATAGGATATAGGTTATGCAACTAAAGGACAGCATTTTTATTAAGAGCTACAGTGGACAAGAAACTGTGGAGACCCATGATCGGTAATGTCCTGAAGGGATACGACAGGAAGAAGAAGATGAAGAAGCTTGTGTAAATGGATGTAGTGTTTAGGAGAGTTAACAAAACTACAGGGAATTGGGAGAGCCATGATCGGATACACCTTTAAGGGAGACGGCACACAGAGAAGAAGAAGAAAAATAGTTAATAGTTTTTGTATACTTCATCAACGAATATTTTATTGTAATATTTGCTCTCAAAATCTTAGGTGTGTTTGTCGTCGATTGATTGATTGATTTTTGGACGGATTATCAACCGAAACTGCTAGTGAATATTAACAATTATTTGAGAATTATAACTCCTGCTATTTAACCCATAGCTGGGGGATGACATTAGTGAACGTAACGATGTTTGTCATCCAATAAAAATTATATGTTACCTTTGTTTTTAATTACATTTTCTTGTTTCTTAATATTTTGTTCAAATTTTGGTTGGCATTTTTTTCCCAATGCATCTTCTGATTTCAGTATTTATATTTTCCATCTTCTGTTAAAACACTTCCCGGACAGATAGATTTTTGTACTTGGTTTTTATGTCTCCATATAGTAGTTCACATCCTGTTATCCTTGTTGCTAACAACTATACACTGTCTTCTTACAATTGATAGTTAGTCTTTTCTTCTTGCTTTCTTTTACTACTTTGTCTCAGAATCCATGCAGTTTTCTTTCTTTATCTACTAGTCTCTGTATATCGTATGCTATTAAGATTGTGTCTACCAATAATAAATACTTGTCGTGTTTATTGATGATTTTTACCAGAATATTTTTGTTAAGTATCTTCCAAAGTAAGCAGTGTCATGTTAGAATAAAGAAGTAGCTTTTGGTAAGGTTTCAATTCTTTTCCCGCGTGACAGGAATTCATCTCTCCGCCTCTCTGTCTGCTTCTATTTCCATATATATATATATATATATATATATATATATATATATATATATATATATATATATGGCGTATCAAATGTAAACAAATGACGTCACACATTATGAAATGGACAAAGTCTGACAATTATTTTAAAATTTTTACATTTGATACGCCATGAGCTCATGAGAGATTCATGGAAGATTGAAGTTTAAATACAGTAAATTCAACCTTTCTAAACGAACGCTCCTCTGTGGCCAAATCGGTAAAGGCACGTCAAGCTAAATGACGATTCCGTATAGGATACAGGTTCGAATCCTGTCGGAGGAGGAATATTTTCTGTGAAAATTTATCGGACATTCAGGCCGGTAAATGTTGTTTAATACTGTTTATTATAAACAGAGCATTTACTTAAATATTTGTATCTATAAAAAGAATGTTAAACATAAAAATGTCTTATATATATATATATATATATATATATATATATATATATATATAGAGAGAGAGAGAGAGATACAATTGTTGAAACAAATCAGCGACCTTTCAGATGTAGAGAGTTCGAGGAGCATGATGGGGTTCCTCCTCACATTGCTCATGTTACCATGGCAAGGCTCCGTGAAAAGCCTGGGGTGCGTCTCATCAGTCGCAGAACTGAAGTGGGATGGGAACCTCACTTGCCTGAAACTGAACCACCTAGATTTCTTCTTCTGGGATACTTCAAAGACAACATCTTCCAGGGAAATCCTCGCACCATTGCTGCATGGAAGGTAGCCATCACCGAGAAGATTCAAGTGATCAGCCAGGAGGAATGTGTACGCATTATCAACACCTTTGCATTCAACAATGCCTTCAACTGAAAGGCCAACATCTTTGTCATATACTTTAGGGCTTCTCTTGACATTTTAGGTTCATGTTTGAAACTAAATGGCCGCAGATCCTAAAATGTTATTCTTTTACCTTTCAATAAACGTAATTCATCTTTTATAGATAATAAACTAAAATCCAATTACTTTTCGTCACATGATTTATTTAACGGGAATATACAGGTGACACAACGAATAAAAAAAAACTTGAAGGTAGAAAATAACCCAGAAAAAAATATTGGTAATTTATATTCGATTATCTAAAAGAAAATGTATTTTATTTCCACAAAATTCCATGTCGATATGAGGTGACCAAGTGGAAAACCTATAAACGACCCGTTTCGCCGAACGTCTGGTCATGATGAGAGAAAAACCCCCATTAACTTGCCTTATACACGCCAAAAATCACATAACTTTATCAGATCCGACCCCCAGGAAAAAGAAAGTGTTTATTTGTTTGTTTCACTTTATTAAAGCATCGTCTTAAATCAAGATAGAAATGATAAAAATGATAACAATCAAAGATTAATGGTACGTTGTGTTAGGTTATTTCTTATTGGTTAGATACGTGTCACATGTCATGAAGTAACAGATAATATTCAAATATGTGTGAGAAACATTCTAGACGTTAGAGTCTGTAAAAGTTAATGAGACACAGCAGGATGTTTTGAAAAAAAATGTTTTTGGTTTGATTTCTCATTAAAGCATATCTCGTGCCTATTTTGTATATATCTTAATTGATTTTTATGTATTAGAAAGATATAAGTTAGATTCATGAATAATAGATCTGTAGAAAAATGGTGAAATAATGTAATTTTATACATATAATATTGGAACTGTTGGTGTCTTGGATTTTAAATCAGCCCACCCTTTTTTTCTCCACTAATTCGTATATCATATTGTGCTGTTATTGCTTTTACGATGATAGGTGATATGATCCTGGTCTTAAGTTTAATGTCAAGAATTCTGAGAATTCTCTTAATGCATTTTCTTCTTAAGGAATACTTTTCTCTCCCGAGTGACATTTATTACGTATATGAAGACATTAGTGTCAATTGTGTCTTTATCTAGCTAATTATGTGAGAGGTATTTCTGCCTCACCCTCTGTTTTAAATTAATATTTCATATTGTTCATAAAGCGGTTATTTTGCTGGCGTTCACGATAGCTCATCGCGTATTACCCAATGGTCAGCATTCGACCTTTGGTAAAATCTAAGATATCGTTAAGTTAATTTTCAAGACAGATAAACTTTACACCATCTCTCCTTTGTTTCTCAATACAAGCTT